CCTAAACGCACTTTACAAGCGCTGACTGGACGCAGGTGTATCTAGCCCCTAACAGCCTGGTTCAACAGGCGACCTGAGCATTGGTTTGACAATCAGGAGTCGCCAGGGTCTTTTACTTCCAGTTTTAAGGGATGGAGATGGATACAAAATGCAGTCTTGCTGGCTGACGAGAAAAAAACAATTTTATTACGGCTCAAAAAAAGGGACTTTTAGAAGTGGATTCGTTTCATTTCATTGATTTATTCACTAATTTATTTTTATTGATCGACATTCTCTTGTTTTATTTTTATAAGCAGGATAATAATATCCAAATGAAGTAAGCTCCTTTTGGCGCAGAGGAGTACCTTTCCAGACTTAATCAATAACTCTAAAGTTTGAATTTTACTCTTTTCAACTTAGCACCAAAATAGCCAATATTGTGATGAGCGATTCTGATTAACTCATTTTTTAAAGATTCTGGGACAAAAAGTCTCCAAAGATCTTTCTCATCAATCTTAACAAAAAGTTAATCATTGTGGAGTTTGTATTTGTGGCAGTTATTTGATAGGAGACCGTCTTTGATTTTTGAAATTTCATCTTTCAGTTTGGAGCCATTACACTGTTGGGCGGGAAAGTCATCAGCTATCCAAAAAACGTTGTCATAAACATTTATTTTAAGTGGGCTTAAATACCAATAATTCTAGGTGATGGGGTGGTAATTCCTGCAGGTCTGGAGGATACCTAGACAAAACATCCAACGCAACATTGTCTTTGCTTTTGATATGGGCCCAGCTTAGGGACAGTCTTTCTTTAAGCCCGTGCCTCAGTTTCACTGAACAGGTCCGCTCATTTAGCGGACCATTCATTTCCCCGTGTACAATTCATCTCATCAGAGCTCTAGGCGATAACACATGAGGGGTTCTGAGAACTGCCATTGAGAAGACTTTTTTACTAGTAGAATCAATAAGGCCAAACTCCATGTATATTTGATACTGTTAAAATGCTTTGTTCACCGGACTACCTGTGGAATCCATGAACTATAAATATGAGTGGCATTTTCCCAAATTTTCCCAATAAAATAGATAAATAGTAATTAGTTCCAGCCCTGGCCCAAATTTTGTTGTCTGCGGCCAACCCTAAGTTGCGAAATCTAACCTCTTTTTTCGATAGTATGTAAGTTGGGAATACCATTTGCTATCATTCCAAGCTGTACGCAGGTTGAGATTTTTTTTTACAACAGGCTCGATCCATCCCTAGTTTCTGAAGGGTGCACACAGTTGAAAATCGCTGCAGCGCACAGTGGACCGAATCAATAGGAGAGGTCGGACAAAATTTGGAAACGTTAAACGCTAATAAAAGCGTCCATACGAAACTTGGAGGGTTTAAGAGTGTCTCCATTGGTTTTCTCGTGAAATTTGCTATTAGGAGCACCTCTTAAAATTTTAAATGTGACGACTTAAACATCAAAATGTGTAGTTGTAGTTAAGAATTTCACGTGCGACCTCGTTGCTTGACTCGATCCACTGTGCAGCGGTCGAATGGCTATGCAGGGTGTCTACAAGTCCGGAAATAGTACTGATTTTTTAAGGGCGGCCCGGAAGTACTGAAAAAGTGCGGAAATTCCGAAAAAGGAGCCGGAATTTTTCATCATTTTTGTTACAAATTCAAATTTTTGAAATTTTTCTAATTTCGTCAAACGGAGGTACTGAAAAAGTACAGAATTTTTCTGTCGGAGGAGGTACTGAATTTCTTGAGAATGTACTGAAAAAGTACTTATTTTTGACCAGCCTGTTTTAGTAGACACCCTGCTCTGTCAACATTCTTGCCTCAACTTGCGGGTAGTCACAAACCTCCCATCAAAATTGGATCATGGGGCTGGAATGAACAGGAATTGAACAATCAATAAACTTTATTTATGAAGTAATAGTGTCAACACAATAAAGTTTTACATGCTTGATAAGGCGTTAAGTCCAGGAAGGGCATTTCTTGGTTGCGGTGTTTTAAAATCTCCGGTGCTAATCCTTATTTTAAAGAGGATACTATTGGATGAACTTTCTCAAATACCGTTTTAGCACTGTAAAATCATAAAGAGTATTAATTCAAAGTTGCAACAAATTACATTTATTTGCTTTTTAATTATAATTGATGAAGCGTTAGCGGAGATTTTGAGTCACTGCAACCAAGAAATACCCACCCTGCACCCTTCGCTTCGGTTGTGGTTGGTTTATCCAGAATTCTGCAACAAATGCGAATGTTCGCTTTTATGAAGCTCTTAAAGGTTATCATATGTGCTTTTACAAAAGTCTGAATCTTAACATGATGTCAAATATGGCTCTTCCGAAACAAAATTTGAACGAACATCCAAAAAAACGTCCGTCTTGTCCAATTTCTATGTAATCCTTTAAATTACATCTTCATTTTTCTTCTGTGACAGAAATTCAGAATTCGATTTTGAAAGTGTGTACTCGCAAGATTAGATTTCTAATCATGTAATAATTGTAGACAATACAAATAGGGTGATAATTGAATAGTTAACATTTTGGCAGTCTGATATCATTGTAAAAATATTGTGCGATTGCAAGTGGAGCAAAAATTTGAGAAACTATTTAGCTCACACAACCGTTTCATTTAGACTTTTAAGATAATGATTATTGAGCAATTTGGACTGTGTCCTAGGTACTAAAAAGGATTATTTTTTTTAAAAAAAAGTTGAGCTCCAGCTTGTCACCCAAATCTCTTTTTTTTATTTGTCTTATATGTTTGCTTATATGCCCCGACTTTCTCGTAATAATTTTAAAATTGGAGTCTCTAAAAATAATCGAAAATAGATTCCTTTTCAAGTGTTTCTCATTTTCGGTGGTTGGTGAAACTGAAAAAAAAACGTGTTCTCGGTTGCGACATTTCAGAAAACTCCTTTCCTGTTTTGATTTTTAAAAGGAGACAAAAGTAGCATCATTGCTTATAATTTAACAGCAGTATTTCATGTAGAAAATAAAGTATTACAGGAAGTTTGCAACGCCGCAAGCGGAGGTACGCATTCCTGCAGTTTCACCGTCGATATTCTCTCATACTGTATCCTTTAAAGCTGTGTAAATTTTAATTTTTTCATTGGTATTGGCGAGGAAAGTAGACCCTTCAGACCGGACAAGAGTAGATAATAAATCTTTCAATAGACTCAGTGCTCAATACTTCTGTCTTTCATTATTTTAGTTATTTGTTGTTCTCTCAATTATATAATAAAAGTTTGTAAAATCTTGAAGCCTCTCTGGTTATGTTCTTTATGTCCTCTGTAAATTTTTTTAATCCATATAAGTAAGAAAAAATAAAGGTAGTGATCAAGCTTAGATGGTCCGATGATTTCCGACTTGCAAGCTAAGCTTTGCTGCTAGCGCACCTGATTCTGTGCTCTAGGTCCCTGCAGTAAAAATTATACACTTCACTTATACCTCTTCTAGTATGTGAACATTGAGTTCTTTTCATCAGCACTTACCTTAGTCTACAAGTTTGAAATTGCATAATGGGTCAGTTGCGCTGGTCACAGAACTTTGTTTTGATGCTAGATTCTTGTAGATTAGCTAAAAATAAAAAGACCCGTCCTAACAGTATCTTTCTACGTTCAGTATTAACCGAGATATTGCCCTTTCAAAAACCCTGTTGGCGTCATCCACCGCGGTAGTGACACCCTTCTTGGTTTCTTCCACCTTTGTTTTATCAGTCAGGGAGACATACATAGTGGTTACGCCACGTGAAACACGGATGAAAGCAAGGTGGAAAAAACCAAGAATGTCACTACCGCGGTGGATGACGTCAAAAACCCAACTTTCCACAGAGCTATATTTCGGTTAACATTGAGCGTGGAAAGTTACGGTTCGGGCGGATCTTAATATTTTTAGCTAATCTACAAGAACTAAGCACCAAAACACGATTCTGTGACCAGCGCAACTGACCCATTGGTTACGACAAATTTGGACTTGGAAAACCCCGTATAAGCTTTCAGGCGTTGCCAAATTTCCTCTCGCAAATCACTAATTTTCAGGAAAATTTCTGAGTATTTTTCTACCCATATGTCAGATAATTTAGTTGGTAATTTGATCTGAAGTGTCTGCAAATTTCAAGGAAAAATATTAATAATTTTCCCAAAAAATGAGCATTTTTTTTCCACGGAAATTTGGCAACGCTCGAATGTTCATACGGCGTTCTTCCTTAGCACGGCAGAACAGGACTCTGCTTGAATCTAATTCATTCCGTCTTACAATGAACTTAATATAAGGAACTGATAATTTCGTCTGAAACTTGGCACAAACCGCATTCTAATTGATAAGACGGTTCTATTGAGACGACATTATTAGGTTGTTTCGGGACTACCTTGGCATTTTACTTTTCAAAGGTGCAGTGTAACGGGCCAATTATTGAAACTTAAAGACGAAGCTATAGACAAAGACGACAAAAGGGATTTGGAGGGAGCCTATTGGTGGAAGCAGGTGGTGGCAAATGGACATAGGAGGTAGGTAATGGACTAACTGACGGCAACCCGCTAAAGACTCGACAGTCAGTCCATCATTTCCTTCCTTAGTCTATAAGAACCAACCATGTCAACCAATAGGATCGCTCCATACTCCCTATGTCTTCTTTGTCTATCGCTTTGTCCATCAGTTTCAATAATCGGCCCGCAGGTGGCAAAACGAAGACTCTTATCATCAACGAGCCTCTTTTGTGTCAAAGGCGGTTGAACCAATTCAATCATGTGACTGTTAGTTTAAGCTCTGAGATGACTTGGCACTTGTTAATTGTCATCATCTATGACTAGCAGTGGGTGGTCTAAAATGTAATCTTAGTAGGCCTGCCATTATGAACTCTATCTAAAAAGCCACAAAAATTTTGACCGAAGATAATTTCCGGATATATCTATGTTTAACAATACTTCTGCCGGTATCTTTTTAATGTCGCAAGTCACAAAATAATATTTTGTATTGTTTTTACATTTTTTTTAAACCTCAATACACAAACAGGAGCATGTTCGATTCCGTATCCATTTTATTTTATTACAAATTATATATCACAGTAATAGTAGTGTAAGGTGTACAGTAATCAAAGAGTGCTCAGTGCAAAAAAATAAATAAACTAATCATTAGCCGATCAATATTGATCAACAACCAAATAAAAATAAAGTCATTTCTTAAAGAGTTCCTATGGATCTCATCTCTGTGTTTCATAATTCAAGCAACAATAGTTGAAAGTAAAATATATATATAAATAAACAAAAAATACAATAATTCTCTCTGAACATATTTACAAAGTATTGGTCTCTTTTTTCCTTTCCCTTCTTTTCCTCTACGTTTGGAGTCGCGTTGAAAGCGAAGGATAGCTCCTCAGATGCAAAATAAAGACATTAAAAAGAGACCTTTTTTAAGAATCCATTAAAAATTGGCTGACTGCTCTCCATTCCAGATTTTGCGATTTTTTTCTCGGACGCATTACTCCATAACAAAGCAATTGCCATACCTAAGTTGTTTCATGTTTTAAGCTACATTCTCGATCGCGTTGAATAGCGATTTAATCGGTTGGTCTTCGCGATTCTTTCGATGGCTATTCATTGCGATATCGAACCAAAAATCGATATGTATAGCGATTGAATCGCTTTTCACAATGCGATTTTCCCATCTATCAAATCGAGATGAAATCGCCGTACATCGTAATAAGTTGCCGCGCGGTAAAATTGCAATAAAATCGAGGATAATTGCTCAGATGTTGATTATCTTAGAGATTTTGCAAAAATCGCAACTTAATATCGGTATATCGTGATTTTTTCGTTAAGAATAGCTGCTCGGACTGTAGGTTGTAAAGTACGTCGGTATACTGGAAAAAAAAGAAAGAAAAAGAGCCGGCACATTCTCAGATTTTCCTATTCATGAAGTACAATTCCGCCTAAAAAATACTCTCAACATCTGGAGTGGAGCTCAGCGGTTTTAGCTTAACACAGCAGATTAGTCCCTAGGTAAATTGAAAGTACGCATCTCCTCTATAAGTTCCATGACTGTAAGACCATAAGCTTTTTTTTAATTTATAAAAATGTGATGTTCAGTAACGCAGGTTTCATAGATCTATACCTTCAAAAAAAAAAATTCGGTGATAATGTTTTGAACACAGACAAACACACTATCATCCGAAAAACGATATTCATGTTCAACGACTGTATCGCGTATAACATGAATTAGGTCTCATTAACTAACATGACCTTGACCATCGTTGCAAAATATTTCTCCTCCCATCACCTGAGGCAATCCTGCTGATTGTTGACTCCGAGGAGAAAGCAAAAACTTTACCATTAAACTGTTGATTGAGTTTGCAATAGTAAATTTCCAAAACTATGGTGCGATGTTTCAGTATGTAGATAGAGTTTAGAACTACTCACAGCCTTATCACAGTCGGGGCAAGTTTTCTTGGTTGAATCTCTGCCTCTGATTAAATCGTATGCACATCTGTAACATTTATTGATTACTCTCGTTAGAAGCTGAATTTCATGTTTAAGGATGGCCATACATTGGTACCAATGGAGCATTTTCAATAATGGACCACTAGACGAGATACAAAGTTAAGCATTCTGATACATGTTCCCTGACCAAAATTTCTCGCAGAACACGAATTGCGCAACGAAAGTTACTGAAATTAACTCCTTACTAAGATATTTTTCATGTTTCTTGATGCGTAAATTCAAATCTCCCGCTCATGAAAACTCAATGGTCTATGTGAGTCAAACCGCACACTAAACTTTACCATGAAAATCTGGCAACCTCAATCTTGACGCTTTGGCTCAGCTACAGCAAATTGTTCACATTTTGAACAATCAAGGGTAAGAAACGAACAATGTTTAATTGAAAAGCCTGCCAAAACTGTTGCGAGGCGCGATTTGACTCACGGAGAGAATTGCGTTTCTTGTGACCGGGCAATTCAAATTTCCCGTATGCATTGCAAAATTAAAACGTTAATATCTTAGCTACTTAGCTTGGAGTTAGGAGTAAAATGCAAGAATCGTGTTCTACGCGAAAATCTAATGAGAAACATGTATCAGAATGCTTAAATTCGTACCTCGTCTAGTGGTCCACTGTATACTCCGGTTAAAACATTTTAGAATATAAGCTGACAGGAACCTACCAATGAAAAAATAAATCAGTAAATTTGTAAAAAATGAAAATTAGAGCGTGAAGTAAAGAAAACAAGTAGACATGCTTTTTTTTTTAAGTATGAATTTGGAGAAGATGAAACTTTTTCAATATAAGGCTGCAATATTACACTCAATATCTGAATCATGTACGATTTTCTCAGTGTCCACCGTTCCAGCATGTCTCTTGTATTTGAAAACGCCTTCAAACACTCGTGTATGCTACTTGCAGCGCAACCAAAATCCCCTCTCTTGCGTGCACGTGCAGTTAACAGGCGTTTAGCTAGCTAACTCATCACAGTTACACGGAAGTCTTATTTATTTAATCATTAGGAAATCATCCCGTCTCGCTTTTTTTCATAAATTTCACTTTACACGTCTTCCCCAAAACATCAATCTTCCCAGTTTTTCCCAAAATTATCTCTCAACGTGTTCATACCCCTTGTACATCGAGGGGCTTGAAGGTCAATGCGCATAAGTGCAGCTTTTTAAAAAGTTAAGATATTCATGAACTCTACTAAAACTCATTTGAATGTGTATTCTGTGAAAAATTCACCACCAAAATCCAACTTTAACGCATTATAAAGTTACTTCAAACTTGCTTTCTACCATAGGGTTCCATGTAATTTTGAAACTTAAAACACTTATTTCTTGAAATAGCGAAAACTGCACTTATGCGCCTTGTCCTCCAAAAATTTATTAGAATGTCAAGAAATCCAAAACTTTTGGAGTCAGGGAATTTGATGATAAAGAAATTATGGCGACCCTGTAAATTCTCGACAAAATCCGAATGTGAAAGGAAAGTTGGCAAAGTCTGAAGGCATGCACATACGGCGTTCCTCCTTAGCTCGGTAGTATCAAGTATGTGGCGCAAAGAAAACGGGTTTATTGTAGCAGTAGTTGATGGCTATAGCCATAATACCGTGCTTAGTAAAAACGCCGTGTAAACCTTCCTGCGTTGCCAAATTTCTTTCGGTAAAATACAAATGTTCTGGAAAACTTGTGTTAATTTTCCGTCCAATTTTCCAGAGAATTTTCTTCGCAATGTGATCTGAAGTATCAGAGGATTTCAAGTTTAAATATTCATTACTTTTCTCAAAAATTATTATTTTCGGAGGGGAAATTTGGCAACTCTCGGATGTTCATACGACGTTTTTCCTTAGCACGACAGCATAGTGGTATATGCCACTCACCTGGCGTGAAGGATATGCGAGCACGGCAAGGCCTCGAGACTATCCTCGTCGTAACCGAAGGGTAAATTGCAGGCGCCGCACTGTAATTCCAGCTCCTCCTCCAAAATTTGGGCCACTCTCTCGTGCTCCGCCCGCTGCTCCTCGTCGCCCAAGCTCTGGCAGATTTGACACAGCCTCACGCGCACCGTATGAACCAACAGCTGCAAAATCAGATTCCTCATCTCAAAGATTCTATGAGGTTTATTCATTCGTAATTGGATTACATTTTGCAATAAGGAACCACAAGCTCTGGCTTTTCCATAAAAGCACTTTTCTACATAGAAAAATCGATGATCCATTTGTTGTTTCTAAAAAAAGCCAGAAAAAGTGGTTTCTTTTTGCAAAATGTTATCCATTTATTTGTCTAGTCTCTATATCTTAAAGATTCTCTCTTTCAGAAGGAAGAGGAGTGCAGTAAAAACCAGCGGCGATTTTGCAATCTGGCAACTTGTTTTCCTATCATTTAAATCAATTAAAAATATCGATCTTATTTGAGGCAAGCTGCCTCGCAGAGAATCGATTATCTTTGCATAGAGAGTTTGTTTTGATGTAGAGGTGGACTCTCAGGGTAGGGTGGGATATCCCCTCCATTTTGGCCTCAACTTGAGAGCTTTTTCTGAGCTTGGGAGTTGTTTTCAGAGAAAACTACCATCGTGCTTCTCGCGAACTTTTACATAAGAATCAGCAGTCAAATCGCAAATTTCTCACACATGCAACATCTCCATTCCGATTTTCCCTCTAAAATCATTTCAAAATTCTCTCGAGGTTGGCCGCGTAGCGGCCAAGCGGCATACCCCCTAGTTTCCTTGTATAAAACAAGACTCAAGCAGAGATTCTCAACGTTGCAATCAAAAGTAGGTACGCATTTTGATTCTCTAACTATGGGATTAAAGAAACGTCACAGCCGATGTGGCAACGCCGCTTTTACAACTCGGAGCCATGAGCCAGTGCCAGAAATATTTAAAGATGAAAAATGATTGGGAAAGAACGAGAGACAATCTTATTGATCAAGAGAGGGAAATGGAGGTCATGAACTGAATTTTACGTTGGTACTTAAATAAACGGTTTCCTCGTGTCGCGGGGCACTCCCGGTTCTTCCCCCGGAAATTCCGCACCGGTGAAGATATTAAAAGAATGTTCTTACCCCGTCACGTTTCGCCCCGCGGTGCCGTTCGATTCTCAATTGGACGTATTTCTATCAAACAGAACTATGTGCATTAAGACATAAGCCCTGAGACCCATAAGAATCCATGCATAACAGGGCTCACGCCATAATGCACGTAGTTTCGTTTGACAGAAATGCATCCAATTGGACCTCATTTTGCCGAGAGGAACTACACTATTTCCAGCTCATACATAAAAGCACCCATCTGCATAAGGATTAAAATATCACATATGTTGTTTCTAAAATGAGCCAGAAACAATAGTTCCTTATTGCAAAATAGATCGCATTTAACAGAAAGGAACCAAGGCGATTACAGTGTTTTAAAATGTCTTCTTCCTTGTTAAAAATACTCAATATACTTGCAGTATCAAAATTTACATAATTGTTTTCCTTTAAAATTAACAATTTTTTGGTAGGAAGCCGAAACCATTTGCTTTTCTGAGAGATTTTTTAGATCATTAAGTATGAAGAAACAACATTTTTCAACATTGTAATGGCGCTGGTTCCTTTTTGCTAAGTGCGATCCAAATGTGGTTCAATTGAGGGGCTTGATTGGAGGACAGGGCGCACACGTGCAGTTTTTGAAAAAAATTGAAAAATTAATTATTTCAAGTAATAAAACTAAAAATGCTGTGAAAATTTCCTCCCATATTCCAATTCTCAAGCATCAAAAAGTCAGTTTGAAATTTCTTTCCACCATCCATGTAATTTATGAAGTACCAATACGTACTTCTCGAAATAACAAAAACTTCACTTATGCGCCTTGTCCTCGAAGCCCCTCACTAACTCCTAGCTGCTCATCCATGAAGGCACAGCCTATCTGCATAGGGAAATAAATGGCAAGCTCGTTGTTTAAAAAATGAGCCAGAGATAATAGTTCCTTAAGTACTCTAATGTGTAGTCCTATCAGGCGACTCGGAAGGGGAACTGCAGTGAACTACTCCGAAAAGAACGACTCCCTTTTAAAGTATATCACTGCGTTATTATGTTGATTATACCCGAAGTCGTCCGATCGCCGTCTAGTTGTCCTGACAATCTTTACGTCGATGCGTGCATGAAGTCAGGAATAATGATGAAATGACAAGCCTCGTATCTCATTGTCAGAATAAAACCCTTACTCTGAGGAAAATCGGATCAGTGGCGTGGCGTGATTTGCGATATATCGATTGATACACCACTCAAACCTATGAAAAAAATCGATTATCGAGGTGTTCGCAGCGAACACCTTAATACTCGATTCTTTACCATATGTTTAAATGGCAGAACAATCGATACATCGCAATTCACGCCACGCCACTGAATCGGATTTATGGGGAGGCGGCCCGCCCGCGCCCCAGAATTACGCCAGCGGGGCATCATCTTGCTGAGTTTCTTTTTATAACCGATACATTTGTTCCCCAGATTATCCAAATTAGCAAGAAAAAACAATGATTGCAAATAAGTTTTTAATTTATCGTAAAATAAGAATCTACAAGGTTATTCTTTTCATGTTTTGAAATCTAACATGTAACGTGGAAAAGGAATAAATTGAGTATTTATTGAATTCAGGCTATTGAGCCTTGAGCTCGGGTATTCCTAGCACAGCCAGCGAAAAGTACGTATAATATTGTTCGTTGCTATGTGATCCCTGGTAAAAATTGGCGGTAGAATCTGTGTTCCAAAATATCATAGACCTAAAGCCGGCTGTAAGATTTTCAATAGCTTCTATAGCCGGATGCACAATTTCTTATAGCCTTTTATAGCCGATGGCGATTAAGCAACAGCCAGGCGATAAAGTGTGTGCTAAATGTTACTAATAACGGATGCTAGGACTTATTGAGTTTTTGGACTACCGCTCTATTTTCGGGCCGTAGTATCTTGATTTATTTTGCGCGGAAAGCTGCGTACTTTTGAAGGATGGCTGCCATTCGTAATATGTTGGAGCGCCTTCAATTTCGTATGATACTGTGCAATACCTCTGGTGTGAAATAGTTGCTTCAAGCGCTGTGGCACGCTGCGGTGCGGTAGGCGGGCAGCCAGCGCGAAACGCGCATTGGCGCCTACAAACCTAACAGGGATACTTCACGCGTTGCGCACTGCGTGAAGTATCCCTGTTAGGTTTGTAGGCGCTAGTGCGCGCTTAACTCTGGCAGCACGCCGCTCCGCTCTGTGTTAGGCTCCATTATATAATCTCGCGGAGTCAGCGTTTTTCAACCCAATGATTTTAAGATGTTTGCACATCCTGTATGGATTATTCTCATTTTAATTGATGAAAAAAATATGTATTAAAGGAAAATATAATGTGTGTTTTGTAAATATTATGGCGGTTATCCGTTATAAAACTTAATGATTTCCAAAGCGCACGAATTTCTACACAATTTCTTATAGCCTTTTATAGCCGATGGCGATAAAGTGTAAAACCCGGCGATAGGAGCTATAGCCCGGCTGTATACTTTTTTATCGCTTCGTATAGCCCGGCTATATGGTTTGTTCCGCTTTTTACAGCCAGCTATATGATTTTCTATTGCCTTCTTTAGCCGGCTATATGAATTCCTATGGTATTTTGAAACGCAGCTCCTATCGCCAATTTTTACCAGGGATTGAGAAAAAATCAATGATGTCCAAAGTGCAAAACAACGTATCTCTGCTTGCGACGCTGCAGAATTTTTATCATACTTTATTTTTCCTTTGGAAAGCTGATCATCTCAATGTCTTGAAAACTTCTAGGATCTGTCTCTTTTTTAGCAGGATATTCTGTTCAAATTTCAAACAATAAAATTTGCTTGTTTTTCTTCGAAAAATAATACCTATAGGAGCGGAAATTTTGAAACGCCGAATTAGAGATATGTGGTTCCGCACTTTGACCATCGACATATTTTGACCGAGTTTAACAAAAAGGATCCAAACCGCACTTAGGGTTTTCTCTGATCAAAAATCAAGCCCAGAAAAAATAAGTATTCTGAATGTAAGAGTAGGACCCAAATAGCATTAAAAGCCACATGTAGTGATCGCACCATCAAATTATTGCAACTTAATTGAAGAAAGGCAACCTATCCAAAAAGGCAATGAAGCTATTCCACAAACGCGATCCTTAGTCGTGGCTGGATGTTGCCTATCCTCTCAATTCAAGGCGCTAAGATCCCACGTTATCGAGAGAAGCTGCAATATCTGGAGTAGTCGTAGAGGATTACCGATTACCTATCTACTCGGAAAGTATCTCCAATGGTCACGACCGTAGACTGAACGATTGTTCATCGAGAATTTCAACTCTACATCAGCATTAAGTTAGATAGGTAGTTATTTTATTTATTGACATTCAGCATCCTAGGTTATTAACGTCTTTACAAAGAATTTGGAAGATGGGTGTATATACAAAAATTTAGATTTTTAATCCACTAAATTAAAACTTGGTTATGTATAAATAAAACTGCCCCAAGGAGAAACGTTATATGCATATTCAGGCGCTGTCAAAATTCTTCTAAAACGAATTTCTTCGAAACCTTGTGAATTCTTTAGAAAATCTTCCTCGAAATTTTTCAAGGAAAGGTATTCATCATAGTTCTCTGAAATAGATATTTTTGTCGGGGGAAGTTTAAAAAGTTCAACAGACGCTCTATTTTAGCATACAATAAATCAGAAATCTGCGCTACATATGACCACTATGATTTGGCTTGGTTCCTTTTTTCTGAACTCACAGTCAGTCCAATGACCCTATTCAGTCGTGACGACGAGCCTAAGTCTTTTTTGGTTTCAAACAATGATAACCCGTCTCTCCGGCTTTAACTTGACTCCATCGGAGTTTTTCTTTTTTTTTAAGTTACTGTTTTTAACTTCAAAAGTCATTAAACGGCCTTTTTTTCAATTTTTTTTTTTTTTTTTGGCTGAAATGAACTTCCGGTTCAGTTGTTCGTAAGAGTTAATTCTCGATGCCTTAAATTACATGTTAGAAAGATATATCTTTCTCAACTGCCTTAATTGTTGGACCACATTTTGCAATAAGGAAGCACTATTTCTGGCTCATTTTAGAAACAAAAAATATGCCATTGGTTTCCCTCTGCAGGAAGGTGCTTTTATGGAGGAGTCAGAAATAGTGGTCCCTTATTGCAAAATGTAATCCAGTTAACTTAATATAAACTCAGCGGGCTGATTATTGAATTGATAGACAAAAAAGACAAAGGGAAACCAGAGCTATCATATTTGTTGAAATGGTTGATCGTTATGGACTAAGGGTGGTAATGATGGACTAACTGTAGGGTCTTGTGTGTTGCCGTTAGTTGATTTATCACTCACCTTCATTGTCTACTGACTGCAACAACCCACTTCCAGGAATAGGATCGCTAAATTTTCCGTTTATCTTTTTTGTGCGTGTAAAAACCTATACTACTAAAGATATAACCATTCTAAAGCAAAAGTAGAAACTGACCGAATTTAAATATTTGGCTCCAAAACCATCAAAACCTACTCTCAAAATGTTCTTATGGGCACGATGGAACGAGATGGTCGCACACGGACGAATTTGTTTCAACTGGCCTTCAGGTGCACACTCTGGCTCTTCAAAGCGGGTAGAAAAACATACAAAACTGAGGATACAACTATTTTAACCTCGCGGATATGCGTGAAGTATGACAAGAATCGAAGGCGCTCTACAGGAAGTTCATGCTAAGCTCCGCTCTCGTTCATAACCGATTCATAAGACTGTTTGATGTAGGCTTCAAGTTTTTGCTGTTGAAATTTTTAACTATACTAATTACGATTCTGCGGGATAATTATTGAACTCGGTAGACAAATCTATAGATGAAGGAAACAAAGGAGGAGTGCAACGATCCTATTGGTTGAAAGGAGCGGCTGTGTAAGACGAGAGGGGAAATGATGGATTAACTATAGGCTTCTCTGACAGTTAGTCTGTTACATGCCTCTTTTGTCTATTGGAACCCCCCGCTTTCAGCAATAGGATCGCTCAATTGGACTACATTTTGCAATTTGGACCTATAAATTCCGGCCCGGTTTAAAAACAACGTATGTACCATTAGTTTCCCTATGACTATAAGTGTTTTTTCAGATGAGCCAGAATTTATAGGTCCAAATTGCAAAATGCAGTCCAATTGGTCCTTTGTCTTCTTTGTCTATCGATGTGTCTGTTAACTCCAATAAGTAGCCCGCAAGACGTAAAATTAACAGAAGGGGCAGTTGAAGAAAACGTTTTGAAGTCATCGCACATTTTTGTTCTTTTTTTTAAAAAAAAAAAGAAAAAAAAGAACCATGGTTTCAATGCATGCAACTTCCCAAGTTTTGTCAGCGCATCACTTCATCAGCGATATCGGTCCCATTTCACTATGCCCGTATTATATGATTAAAGTAGAGCTCTCAAAGGAGGGGGGGGGGGCACGTGACTCCACGTGACGTCACTTTGAGAGCTCTACTTCGGTCGTATGATAGAGGCTCTACGCATGACTCAGTGGCGTGGCGTGAATTGCGATATATCGATTGATTTGCCATTTAAACCTATGGTAAAGAATCGATTATTAAGGTGTTCGCTGCGAACACCCTGTTAATCGATCCTTTTCCATAGGTTTAAATGGTATAACAATCGATACATCGCAAATCACGCCACGCTACTGGCATGACGAGTCCAGTAACATTTGAAAACGTCCGATTCGTTTTCTCCCGGTTACAGTTCATTTTGAGCTCGATCTCGAAGGCCCAAAAAGTGAGGAACGCCACTTACCTTGGCGCCAATGGCAGTGGCAATTTCTAGAAGTCTTGTGTTCAGTTCGAGAGGTCGGCAGTTGCAAATCTTCTGCTGTAGTCGGAGCGTTTCCAAGCACCTGGCCGCCCCATCCATGGCCTCTACGTGACACAGCCGGTCTCCCATGGCGCCTGCCGTTAGCATGGCGCTTTCATATTGCTGATATGCATTCTGAAATCAATCGAAACTGTATCGACTAAGAAATCCCTTGGACTCAGATTTAAGACAAGTGGAACCCATTTCTGATCGGCTCTCATACTGTAGGCTATCATGACGTATTTCACGTGACACGGAAAAAAGTGCAAGGGGCTGTTGGATAATATGGACACCACCATTCATTGTGCATTGTAGCACCCCAATAACTTAGGTTGCAAACCCACATTGCCAACGCCATGCGACGTTTCAAAATTTCCGCCGCCACTTTATTTTTTATAGAGCAATTGTCGGTTGAATCTGTTTGAAAATTTCATTGAATTTTATCGGCAGCTCCAAGAAAATTCAGTGAAATTTTCGGACAGCTTCGATGAAAAATTTCTCTGAAAAAAAAATCAATAAATAAATAAAGTAGCGGCGGAAATTTTTGAACGTCGGTACTTATGATACTTTGGCCTAAAGGTGACGAATGTTGGAATAATACCACAATTAATCGGAAATGTCCATATCATCCACCAAATTGGTGTAGTGCCACAATTTTAGGGGATAACTCGTATCACTTTTTTTTTCGCGGAGATTTCACGATTTTAAATTTCCAGTAATTCCGTCACTCTAGATTGTCATCTTAAAGAGCTAATTTGTCGATGGACGAAGCAAAAAAGTATGGTTAATTCAACCAGATTGCTTGATTCACTCAAGTCAGCAGGACATGTTGTAAAATCTACCACTCTTTTTCCGTATGTCGTTAACTTTGACATGCCCAAGCAAGTTCATGTACCCCATCCACTTATTTCTAGTAGATAATATATTTTAAAAGGATTTAATTTATTCTTTGATCAGAATAGTTCTACCATAATACTAACACTGAGGTCCTGTAAAAACAATTAGCCAAATTAGCCATCAAGCATAATTGGACGTATTCGTGCCAAAAACAATCATTTTAGAGCGAACCGAATCAAAAGGAACTATATATATATAGGGTTTGCGTGCAACTTTTGGCTCCTTTTAGTTTTATTCTCTCACACAGTCTTTTTTCTCATTAATAGTCCAATTTTACGGTGGCTCGATCAAATTTCAGAGAGAAATCTTGTTACTGACTTCTGAGATCTAATCAGGCGGAAACAAAAACCAACCGACTGCTCATCAAACGTTGTTAGGCGGAAGAGAGGGTAGCAGGCAGAGCTGAATCGCCATGTGCTCAGTCGGTTCTATGCCTGCGAAGTCAGATATAAAATCGTAACCGGAGACTGTATGAAATACGTTCACCGTAATGAGGGAAATAACTCCAGGAAAAGTTATTTAACCGAGAAAACGACTGTAAACGGCCATGCAAGCTCTGCGAAAATTGAATATTCAATTTGGCAAACTCCACACTCACGCCGGCTACCCGTTTCCAGTCGGTTGATTAAATAGAGAATTACTTACGCTAATTTCCATTTTCTTCCTATAAATGTCTCCCATAATTCTAATACTCCGCGCATAGCAAAATTGATCACCAGAAACTAAAGCCAGTCTCGTAGCCTCCTAAAACAATAATTTAACATACCATTTAATCGTGCAATTCTCCCGCTTTTTGTCGCTCCGCTGACGCAAGGGCGTACCTCAATTTCCGCATGAACCCTAAAAAGCATGGATTTACATGTAAAGCAGGGCTCACGAGGGAATTCAGGTACGCCCTTACATCAGAGGAGGGATGTTTTATCCTCGACCTCCCGAACCTGTAGCTGGGGAGGGTGAGGGAGGCGTCACTCTTCCTCTCCAAAGAGCAACATTTTTATTAAGGCCATCAATTTTCGAATCAAATTGTCCAGTTTTATCAATTTACACGGAAGACGTCATCCATACATATATCAAAGCCGCTTTAAGAACACTCTCTGACGCTCTGCGACACCCAGCCACCCCATTCCCCTATTCTCCCATAGTCCGTCCCTTATGTATGTGTNGGGGGGGGGGGGGGGGGGGGGCACAGACATAAAAAGCTATAGACTATGATCGTGGAAACAACTCTGAAATCCTATTCTCGCCCTTTAGTTCAGTAAAATAATGATTGAAATTGATAAACGAAGCTATGGGCTAAGAAGATAAGGGGAAAATAGATCGATCCTATTGGTTTAAACGGGTAGGAGGTGGTTTTTACAGACTCGAAGGAAAATACTCGACCATAAGATCTCTCGTTGCTGTTAGTTTTATTCTTTTACTTACATTCTGTGTACTTTGTAACCAAATGCTTCCCATTTGCTTCCACCAGTAGGAAGCTTCATTTCCTCTAGGCCTCTTTGTCTATTGTTTTGTCTATTAATATCAATAATCTGCCCGCAGAATATAATATGAATCTCGAAGAGGCTATTTGTCTATTAGCTTGAGCTCGTCGTTGTGCTATTACATTGCTCTATGGAGCTTATTTTCATAATGTTGCAGATGAATCATTCGATATGATGTTTTTGCAAACCACCATATCAAAGGTGAAATTTTTAACGAAGAAGTTGCGATTTATGAAAATGAAGTAACGATTTTAGTACTTCCCCATCGCAATGAGATCAGTGGGGCATCGTCGCCATTCAAGCGATTTCACCATAGCTTCCGCAATGTTGTCCCATGAATAATGAAGTCATTTGATCGCGATGTAATTACGATCAGATTTTTACTCTAATTATTCGAAATTTCGTCACCGATAACATCGTCAAACATCGACATTAAATCGAAATTTTCGGTTCTGATAATTTGTTTAAACTCCCTTGCCATGAAATAATCCCTGATGAACTATCTATTGAATCGCAACCATTCGCGATCATTGCCACCCGGGCAGGAAGGTTAATCAAGGGAGGAGCCAATCACGATACGGGATTAGCTCTCTGACCTTTTGAAATTGACCTTTTAAAGCTATTCACCGGAAACAAAGATCAGGTCCGCAAATGAATCATATTCAATGAAGTTTTCGTCGCCCCTTCCGGCATGACGGGTAAAACTGCCGTGATAGCGAAGAGAGCAGTGAGTGCGTGCTGGAATGAACCTCGAGAAACATAAAAGCATGTGCTAATCATGGCTCATGCAGGAATGTACTTACTGTTCTCTTCGCTATAGCGGCTGATAATCACGCTCACCAGAAATAATCAACTGAAATTCATTACAGTCAATTAGAACATGCTCTATATACGGAGTGACGGTGTGCTCATATTCGGAGGGCTTATCCCACAGCTTATCACGCCCCATATAGGTGAAAATAGAATTAAATCTTCGTAACTACCCTGCTGTTTTGTAGAGCCAGCTTGTGGCAAGTCTTGTCTTGACGGGACGTGTTTGGACGATGATAGAGAAAAAGAGGAGGTGTTTGCATTTCGGATTTTGTCGATGACGTAGGTCCGTACGGACGGTTTTTACCATCGATTTTTTGGGAATGGTATCGTTTATGGAAGAAAATGATTCTACGTAAAGTGTTTTAAATTATATTTTGAGTTGATCTAAGCACAAAAAACGGAGGTTATCGTCCCGTTTCTCATACTTCGTATTTCGGATTTTACTGGAATACGACGCCATGCCATATTGTACCGACCCACGTCACGGGGTGAGCAATCCTCAAGATGAAAACACCTCCTTTTTTTCTCTATGTTGGGCGATTGGTTACATGACGAGCCTTCGTATTGACATTGATCGACAAAGCGATAGACAAAGAAGACAAAAAGAAAATGGAGGGATCATGTTGGTGGAAGCGGGTGGCTGCAATAGACGACGGAGGAAAGTAATAGACGAACTACTTGCGACCTAGGTGGGACCCCAGAGTTAGTTCGTCATCCCCTCCCCCTCATTCTACAGGATTCACCTGTTTTAGTCCATAGAATCTCTCCATTTTCCCTTTGTCCTCTCCGTCTATTGCGTTGTCTGTCATTTTACGTAACCAGCAAAGTAAGTTTTTAACTATAACTCGCTCAGCGTAAACGGCTTTTCAGTTTCAATGAAGTTTCTTTAGGATTCTTCCCCCAAAGTGTACGAATTTTTAATTTTTTTTTTTTGGGGGGGGAGGGGGGGGCAGCCAATGATACTAACGGGGAAAAAAAGCTCCATTAGAATTCTGATGGTCTCTCTCACATTTGTAAAGGGTTTTATGTGTATGCTTACCGTGCAATAATCATAGGCATCTCCCAGCTCTCCCTGTTTCCGGAGAGCAGCCGCCATTTGGAGGAGCGCAACCCGGCGATACCTGGAATTGAGGTCCCGCAGCTGCATGTTCTGCGAGATGTCGTAGGCTTTTGAGGCGTATCGAGCACTTTTATCGGCATCTTGGAGACGACCAAAAAGCTCTGAAAGTCCTACGTAAACCTGCCAAAAATTAAGTTCAAGCTCAATTCCACCTTAGAAAAAATGAGACAAATAGAAATGCGTCGCTCCTTTGATGTGAAGGTGTATCTCTATTTCCATATGACCCCCGAAGAGTATGAAGTTATCTGAACCATTGGGCTGATGCGGAAATTGTGATACGCCCTCACGTCAGAGGAGCAACGAATAGAGCGAGGATAAGGACTCGTGTTGAGACGGCGCAAAGATACAACTATTCGAACTTGATGGATGTCCGTGTTGCGTTCGCATAATTGAGGGCACGATGGCATGAGGCGCGTGAACTCGCAATGCTCCGCTCTACATATGCCGGTGGTGAGGTGTCGCTCGGATTCGAGGGAAAGCTAAAATTCGAGGCCCGAATACGCCTCTCCTAACTTTAGTTCTGTCGACACTCAAGTATTTTCTTCTTTTCAATTTGAGGTCCGATTCTTTTTTAGAATATTTTTGTAGGATTTCTCTGACGCAAGGGCGTACCTCTATTTTCACATGAGCCCCTGAAAGCAGAGTTATACGGAGAGCGGGGCTAGCGTGGACATGGAGAGACGCCTTTACGACGGAGGTGCGACGATCTATGAACGCACCCTAATCGGAGGATGTGGATTCGATCGGCATTCATCGATCGAAAAATGAAAACGAGAATTGACCGATGCGAAAAGTTTGACGCCAATCTATCGACAAATTATTCACTTATTTATTAATTTAAATGTGAATGGGCATGAGCCCAAGACAACAGGTGTAGTAGAAAATTCTTACAAGATTAAAAAATAATTTAAACTATCAAATAATCGATGTCGATTCGATAGCGTTGAATCGACCGAAAAATGAAGACGTGAGCCGATCGACACCGATTCTATTCGATCAACAACCGTGAATGGATCGACAAACTCGGGAATCGATCGAATTTCGTCAATCAAATCACGTCAATCGGTTCGTTTTTTTTTTATTTTTCGATCAATTCATGCGGATCGAATCCTTAGCCTCCCCCTAATCATACATACATATCAAGCCGCTACCTCAGCGCACTAGAGCGCTCTGCGACTACAAATCGCCATCGGAATCGATCCTCCCACAAATCATCGGGCAGATTACACCGTCTGATCTCCCCCTCCACTCCCTCCCGCCAACCTTTTACTGGACGTCCACGCCGCCTTCTTCCGGGAAGAACCCAATCAAATACCTCTCTGGGCAACCTATTATCTGCCGTTCTCCGCACATGTCCATACCAAACCAGCTGCCTGGTTTTAATATCGTGCACAATCAACCCCTAATCAACTCCCCCCAATCAACTAATTGAAAAACTCTATGGCGGGTTGGTGGGTTGTCTCACCTGAAGTTCTAGGGCAGGATCCTGTATCCTTTGAGCAATTGCGAAAGCTTGTTGGAAGGCCTGGAGTGATTTGCAAAAAGTGGCGAGTTCGAGCTGGATGCTGGCGACGGAGACCTGGACGAGGCCGGCCACTCGACACTGGGCGCACTCGTTGTAGAGAGCGTGGCGCGCACATGCCAGCGCCCTCTCCAGCCCGCCGGTCCGCTCGTGCACCTTGGCCAGATTCAAGTACGCCTCCGCCCTCAGGTTCGGGTTGTCCACCTCCTCGGCCAGGTTCAGCTGTCGATGGGCGAATTCCACGGATTCCCTGCTCACAACCACAGAACACAGACTCCTCGTTATTACCCCCTGGTTTAATTAAATCTCCATGTCCGCCCCGAAGGGCTCTCACGGCTCCCGTATCAACTTGCCGCATCGCCTCTCATAAATTCGTCGCTTGGCTGACATAAGGGTGTAAGTACACATTGAGATAAGCCCGGAAAAACATTGAATTGTATATGATAGACAGGGTTCATTGCAGAGTGTTGGTACGCCCTTATGTCAGCCAAGCGACGAATTGAACAGAATTTAACGAAACAAAACACAACACTGGAAAAAAACACATTGTATCTAGAGTCCAGACTCTTAAAAACATCGACAAGAAAAAATACTCTTGATTTAATCGGATTTTTGCTTAAATCAAGAGCCAAGCCTCTTAATTTGAGCGGATTTCGTTTTGATTTAAGCAAAAATCTGATTGAATCAAGAGTCCTTTTTCTTGTCAATGTGTTCACAAGTCTGGACTCTAGATCCAATGTGTTTTTTTTTTTTTTTCTAGTGAAGAAAATGGAAAATCGAGGCTTAAAACAAACTGCGCGCCTAGAGCGTCTCGGGGTGGTTTCAACCCCTTCCTTGGAAAGGAAACAAAAATATAAAAATAAAAAAAAACTCATCAGAATCAATTTGTGATAATATCGTTACTATCATTGTTTTCTTTTTTATCAAGTACTGGAGCTAATTTATAAAAATTTAATCCGATTCACATCATTCGAATTAACATCTTTAACAGAGAAAGATATGAACGGTAGCGCCTTGGCTACTTTTGTATCACGGCTAATCTTGTTGCATACAGAGGTAATTGAAGGCGTCGCATTTTATACGCTCGTAATGATCCGGCATCCGGGTCATAGACCATAATATGGTTCCAAGTACTTCTGAGTTATCGTATCTCGTGTATGCATGTAGAGAAGAGATCTCTATCACGCTATTAACTAGAATCAGCCTTACTGCATGCATCAGACGTTGCCCAGTTTCTTCTCACGTTTTTTTTTTTTTTTTTTACAAGAAAAATAAATCACATTTTGGCTCATTTTGTAAATCTGTTTTGATTTATTTTCCTATGAGAAATGAATAATGCCTTTAAAGTAGCGAACCAGAAAATTGTGTATTTTTTACAAGACAAGATAGGTTAGATTAATATTTTACAAAGGTTTATTTTACAATGAAATTCACGGGACCTAAGATTGAAGATACGCCCGCAATGTGTAAAGGAAAAATTAATAAATCAACTGATAAACCTCTATGAGTCAACCTCAGTGACAAGGGAGGATAAAAAGTTCACCCAGTATCAGCCCCTACACAGCTAAAGCTGTTTGCAGCGTTACCATGTAAGGTCTAAAAATCCAAATAATAATCTCTCATAATTTAAGGAAAACATAGAGACACTTTTAAGGCGTTTTGCGGTTTACTTCTGTGTTTAAAAAAATGAAATATGAGAGGAAATTAAGCAACCAGATATGCAGGTAAGCTGTTCATGGTTGAAATCATCCAATTTGTTGCTCTTCGACGGAAGAAACGTAACTCCAAGCTCGGACTGGCCAAGGCCAATCTGCAGAGTTAGGAGTGAAGAGAGGTGTTTTTACGCATAGTGGTGAACAGAGGTCCAAGAACTACTTTCTGAAGCGTAAACACTTTTCTGTGAAATTGTCACCTTTTTGTTGACATATAAGCGATTTATCATCCCCCTTTCTTCATTCTCTATGTGTAACTCCCGTAGAAACGATAGCCGGTTCGATTTTTAGACAAACGTACACTTTATAGACCTCATGAGAGACCTTTAAACACATTTCTTCCTTTTCAAAATGACTATTGCTTTGGACAAATCATAGCATATCTCGGGCAAACTTAACCTTAATTTATTTCGAAATTCAAAAGTAAGAGACATCTAAAGTGTAAACGCGATACAACTATTCTCGCAAGATGGATGTCCACATTGCATATGAAAAATGTAAGACGCGATGGCGTGAGTCGTGAACTCGCAATGCTCTGCTCTAGTTTAAAGCAACATTACAAATAAGACAAACGGAAACAAACACAACATGGAAATAGAGCGAGGGAAAGGCTGCGCGTTAACGACGGCGCAGAGATACAACTATTCGTACTTGATGGTCGTCCGTGCTGCATCTGAAAAATTGAAGGCGCGATGACGCGAGGCGTGAGTTCTCAATGCTCTCCCAATGAGGTGTCGCTCAGACTCGCGAGAAAAGTTAAAAAAGAGGCCCGAACACATCTCTCGTACCTTCGGCTGTGTTATTCACGTAGTACTTGAAGCACCATTACGAATAAGACAAACGCAAACAAACAAAACATGGAAATAAAGCGAGGGAAAGGATGCGCGTCAACGACGGCGCAGAGATACAACTATTCGTACCTGATGGACGTCCGTGCTGCATCTGAAAAATTGAAGGCGCGATGACGCGGAGCGTGAGCTCTCGATGCCCTGCTATATGCTGCCAATGAGGTGTCGCTCAGATTCGGGAGAAAAGTTAAAAAAGAGGCCCGAATACGTCTTTCTTGTCGTCGGCTGTGTTGATACTCGTTCTTTCTTCTTTTTTCATGTTCTTGCCTGATTCTTTTTTAGGATGGATTTTTAGACCCACGTCTTATGCTCGTGTGAACCGCAGCACTGACACGGTTCTTGTGGAAATAATGGTGCTTGGATGCGTCCAGTGGCTTTAATTGTTTTTGTTTTCTTTAATTTTCAGAAGTCTGTCGGTCACTTCAATACGTTCAAATTCACAATGTTTACTCTGTGCGATTAATAAACTTTGAGCCTAAAAATAGCGTAAACTTGTGCTGCTTCGCCAAAATTTTCTGAACCCCTCTCCACGAAGGGGATGCCCCATCAGGAAATATGACATTACGCCCCTTTAACCAGCCAAGGGTTTACGCCCGCAGATGCGAGCCAGTCCGACCCTGCGTAACTATAACTGCGAAAAATTCAATTTTTGCAAGAATGCGTCTCCGCCATTTTTGTCGAAAGTTTTTCTGATTCTTGCATGAGATCGCGGGAAAATTCGGTGAAATTTTCTGCTACAAATTCCTAAGATTCCCTAATGTGAAATTTGCGCGGGAAAATTTGGCAACATTGAGATGTAGTTACGTTCTTTCGTGAGGAAAGCGACGAACTGTGAAGCTCAACATCAGCTCAACGCGGGGGATCATCATAACTCATCGATAATCCGCAGTAATCATCCGGCGATAGTATGACCCTTGATGAACCCTCCATTATGGAGATGTTCGATTTCACATTAAGCGTGCGCGAGGAAGTATCGGAAAGATTAGAACCGCTCCTTGAACCCTCCCTCCCTGGTAACATTTTGCTTCTTAATCTTCGTCTTATTATAAAAAAGCTTCTAAAAAATCCAAGAGGCCCTGAGGAAGGGTATTTTTCTGTATTTGATGGCTTCTTTATCAAGCGTTCTTCCGTCCTCATTCGCCGTTCGATCTATTGTTCTCATCCCAGGGCGATAACTACCCGTGACGGCCGCGAGACCCGGATTCGAAAAAGGTCGTTCCGCTCTAATGAGGGTCGTCAGTTTTGCTTGCTGCATAACTGGCAGGCGTCTTGACTCGAACTCCGCTCGCGGATTGCTTTTCCGCGAAAAAATCATTCCTTCGCCGTAGTCGAAGAGAATTAAAACTTGTATTTTTCGCAGACAAGTAGCCAAATTGGGCATTTTATCACATGTCCAGGCAGCAGTGGAAAAAAAAACACATTGGATCTAGGGTCCAGACTCTAGAAAACATTGACAAGAAAAAATACTCTTGATTCAATCAGATTTTTGCTTAAATCAAAAGGAAATCCGCTCAAATTAAGAGGCTTGGTTCTTGATTTAAGCAAAAATCCGATTGAATCAAGTGTATTTTTTCTTGTCGGTGTTTGTAAGAGTCTGGACTCTAGATCCAATGTGTTTTTTTTTTTTTTTTTTTTTTTTTTTTTTTTTTTTTTTTTCCAGTGAGATAGTCAAATTTTGAAAATGTACAAAGTTTCATATGTTTTTACGAATAGCTCTCGAAAATTCAATCCTTTGAAAGTAAGATCTTATAAAACCATTAACTTGCATCGCTTTTTCCTTTTCAAAATACTCCCCATATACTTTTAGCCGTCAAACCTGTGAAAGTTCTTTCTTTTCAAAGTGCTGCATCTTTTGAAATGAATATTCATTTCTGGGCCAGAAATGATTACAGCAATAATAGAATGATGCAAATTTTTTACTTGATTCCTTTCTATGAAGAAAAATCATTATTTTTTCCAAAATCAGCAGAGAAGTCAGGATTCCAATCTGAGTGAGATTATTTAACACTTTGCTTAGGCTTTTGACAAAATGCCTGATTTGATCATTTGCCTACGACATATTTAAAGTGGGAAAAATTATATCCTAAATTTGAGGTATTTTCAAATTCGCCTGTTTTGTTAAATATATGTCTTAAATTGTCTCATAAAAACTTAGTGAGATGTTTCCTAAGTATATTACCATCTGTTTCACTCATGTTTACAAGTTTTTTACGTGTCCTGCTGTATCTCTTTTCCATTGATTTCTTCCCTCATCTGTTCGCTGGGTTTTCACTGACAGAGCTTTCGTTACGAGGGGAGGCTTTTATGCCCCCTAAAACCGCAATGAGTCCTAAAAGATCGATGGATCCTGAATCAAGGGATGTATAATTCGATAGAGTACGTACTAAATAATTTAGCCATGAATATTGAATGAATCGTTAAAATCCCCACCTGTATTTCCCTCGATTCATGTAGGCGTCGTAAAGATACCCAAGTAATAAAAATCTATCGCTTGTTTTCCTCAGTCTTTTGAGTGCGCTGTGCCACTTTCCAAGTGCAGCCTCGTGCTTATTTTGATTGTACAACTCCAGTCCTTGCTCTACCTGTTGGATAAGAAATCAAAGAAAATCAAATTTCCGATCTTATTCAATGAAATAACGATGTATTAAGATATCGAATGTCAAAATACTGTGGGTAAGAGACAAGTATGCTTAGAGTCAGCATAATCACTACTATTTACAATTCATCACCCGATTATAAACTTCTAAAATATCATCCTTTGGTTAAATTTTTCAATTGTATTATGTATCAGAGAATCTGGAAACAGTATTTGAGGGGCTTGGAGGACAAGACGCATAATTACAGTTTTTGCTATTTCCAAAAATACGTGTTTGAATTTTCGAGATTACATGAATCCTTATGGCGGAAAGGAAGTTCAAACTGACTTTTCGATGCTTAAACATTGGAATTTTGGAGGAAATTTTTCACAGAATTTGCATCAAGGCCAGTTTTACTTAAAATTATTAGTATCCCAATTTGTTCAAAAACTGCACTTATACGCCTTGTCCTCCAAGCCCCTCATTTGAGCTTTGAGAAATTCTATGGAGGACTTCAATCTACCCTAAAAACCTAATTCAAACTTAAGCTTCACTAGAGGATGATTTGAAACTATTATTGATACATCTGATTCTTAGTCTACAGGATATTACAATGTTTTGGGGATGGAATAGAATTGAGGGTTAAGTAAATTTGATTATTACTTGTCTACGGGCCAGTTGTTGGTGGACCCTGTTGCTGCAGCCTAGGAAGCAGTCCAAAATTCCTGCCTGCGGTTTTCGCGGTCTGAAATCCTCCTCCGAGAAATCATACAGATCCAGCGGGTGCCTAGAACCGTCCGGGGAGGCCAAAAGAGCTGTGGCTGACATTCCTGTGTGACCCCTAACAACACAGAAACGCACTTCGTTAATTGCCTATTCATTTCACTTCGGAATCACGTCAAGCAAACCATTTATTACTATATTGAGAGTTGCGGAGAAAGAGCTCTGGTCCAATGAAAAATCGACGGCCCTATTCCTAAACTGTGCATCTCGATTTCAGTGTTTTAGAACCACCTCTCCTATTTTATTTTCTCGTTGGAGAACGAACCAACGAATGGAGAGGCTCTTGAGCTGCTTTTTTTAAGGTTTTCACTTTCAATTGTGGCAACGTCTCAGTGTCGTACGTTTCAAGCGTTTTTGCCATTTTAATTTTATTTTATTTTCGTATTTCTTCGATGGTACTCAATGATCAATCTTTGAAAATATAGAAAAAACCGGTCGTATCCTTGGATTAATCGACATGAAAGTAAAAAAGAAGTCGTGGTAAGTAAAAGGGTCTTATCCCCCCCCCCCCCAATGCTACAAGTACAGCAAGCCCTGGAAAAGCTATGGTTACCATTACATCATACACACGGATGCTTTTAACGATTTTTTGCCGTAAAGCGCCACTCAATAATTTTATTTTTTTAAAATTTAATTTCAAACATTTCAACTTGGCAACGCTGTAGCGGGGGGGGGGAATTTTTTGGAGGTCTCGAAACTTTCAGAGATATAAGTTTCTATGCCAAGGAATACCATAAATGTCTAAACTCCATCAAAGCAATGAAGGGGTGCGGAGGTTTTTTCTCCGTTCGCGCTTTGAATTTGACCGTTAAAAACTTTAAAGGGACTTAACCTTCCAGGAGCTGGATGAAATATTTTAATTTTTGGTTGGATTGTTAGTGGAAGTACTCTACTGCAAGGTCTTGAAGGTCCCATCAGTAGATATTTCAATTTTATTTAAACTTGTTCAAATACAATGTGGGAGTTGTAAAAGTGATCTGTGAGAACGCAGCTAAACGCCTTCAATTTCGCTTGATACTGTCAGCCTCACCGCAGAGTTAGTTTAGTTGCTTAACCCAACCAAACCTAACTTGGCTTGATACTCCTACATCGCTCGCTACTGGGGGCGTCGATAGGATAACAATTAAACGGAATAACTGCTGTTACGTCATGTTTACACATCATAAACTCAATTTATATTATAACGGGAGCAAACAGGGTACTGACACATACGCCGCGCCGTAAACAAATTATATTTCTCATTGGTTTGAATTACGCAATGAAGTTCAGACATTTTTACTGACACTACTAACATCGTCACACTCTAGATGAGTCGTAGAAAAGAAGCACTGTGAAGGATTATTATGGCTCACAGTTGTAATTGTATATCATTTCATTGCCTTCAAATGGTAGTAAGTTAAATTTTTAAAAATTTCAACTTCGGAAATTTATTTTAAAGTAACAATAAGTAAAGTCTCCAATTTTTTACTCACTGCTATTATAAGGAAATACACCTCCATTACTCGGTAACCTCTCCATCCCCTCCCGTTCAGAATAATGAAATGCAAAGCTATTAAATTTTCAAGACGTCAAAAAACTTTTCTCTTTAGGTTGCCACGTAGAAAATTTTGAAATTAAATTTTAAAAAAGGAATGAGGCTATTGAGTTGTGCTCTGCGGTCAAAAATAATTAAAAGTATCCATGTGTATGGTGTAATGATGATCATGGCCTTTCCAGTGCTTTCCAAGCGTTGTTGCCATTTTAACAAATTGTAATTAAAGTCATACTTCTTTGGTGTTGCACGACAATGATCGATCTTTTAAAGGAAAGCTAAAACCGGTCAAATCCTTTGATTTATGAAAATCACGGTAGAAAAGAATTATTGTGGAGGCTTGTGCCCCTCCCTCCAAAAACATACTTTTGCCATCTATGACCCCTGTCTATTTCTTTTTTTGGTTTTTGGTACTCACTGTCCCGCAACTTCAAAATGATTGTAAGAGGTCTTGAGGGTCTTGTCAATAGGACGAATTTAAATCAACTGAAATTAGATCCATTGTGACATGAACCCTGAAATGCATGTATTTTTATGAATCTCAAGGCTCATGTCAGAATGAATACAGTTCCCTTTGATTTAAAAGACCTATATTTAAATGTGTTCAAGCACGACATGCGCGGCAATGCCACTAATCAGCAGAAATTCTCCCAGAGCTCATTGACCCGCGCTCGCCTGACGAGCGGTGGGAAAGCGTGGATCATCGACTATCGATATATTCCCAGAAGCGGATTCAGCAAATTGGCAACACCGGATTACCTCCATTTAAACCTATGTTAAATAATCGATTCTTGTCGGAGCACCTGCCCCCTCCAAGAATCGATACATTTTCATAGGTTTTAATGGAGGAACCCCGGTGTTGCCAATTTGCTAGATCCGCCAATGTATATTCCCATTTGAATCTACGATAAAAAATCGATAGTCTAGGTATAGTATACCCTAATAACTCATCTTTCTCAATAGGTTTGAATGGTGGATCCATCGCTTCATCGCAGGGACGACAAGTTATTGCGGTGAGTGAACTCGTTTCGACCGCGACACACGGTGCCCGAACAAAACGATAAAATTCGGCCCGAGCAGCGGCTGGCCCAGCTCGTCGGTTAGCGCGGTGAGGGGGGGGGGGGAGGCTGTGCGCGGAGCGTCAGCACAGAGATGGGAATCGGGGGAGGTTCCTGCTGCTGGATCCTGAGCCCCCGAGAGCGCGTATCGTATCGATTCGGCCCTGACCTACTGACCTTATAACTTCGCCACTTCTTACTCCATAAATATTTACTTTTGCCGAGCCCCCCCCCCCTTCCCTCCCTCGCCCCGCCCTCCTCTCATGCGACACCGCGTCCACTCGTTTTGAATCCGGCAGGTGCACTACCTGCGGGATGATTATCGAATTCGATGGACGAAGCGATAGACAAAGGAGACGAAGAGAAAATGGAGGGATCCTTTTTTGGTGGGAGTGGGTGGGTGCGAAGCAATGGACAAAGAAAGTAATAGACAACCTGATGACAATTTTGGAGGGACTGGATACATGGATGGACGCACCATAGGGTCCCTGAGACTCTATAGTCATTTTCCTCCTCGGTCTATCACAACCACACGTTTCAACCGATAGGATCGCTCCATTTTGCTTTTGTCTTCTCTGCCTATCGCCTCGTCTATCAGTTTCCATTATCTGCCCACTACTACGATGGTGAACTATCTAGCAAGGAAGTAGAAGTTGTCCGTATTTTTAACTTTTACGATATTTTCAAAGCTGACACCCTAATATTGATGAGTTTCAAACGAGGGGGAAAAAGATGTTAGGGGAAAATAAATCTCAATGGTCGCGCCCGAGTCGTTTGTTGGTGGCGGCGTGCTTTTCAATCAATCTACGTTGATTTTTGAGAACGATGTGTTTGCATAAATCCTTCAAACTAATTATTAAAATTGATAGACAAAATTCTAGACAGAAAAACAAAGGGTAAATGGAGTGATCACATTGCTAGAAACGGGTGGCCATTATCAGGCCGTTAAAATGATGGACCAACTACTGGTCATTTCCCTGGCGAAAGCACTCAACTCGATCCTAAGGTTGCAAAATTATCTCTAAATTTTTTGGGATGGTGCTAGAGAAGTGCAGTAAAAGCATTGCTTTTTTGCCAGTCACACGGGGGGGAAAAGGTGCAAGGAGTTTTTCCTTCAAATTGTGGTACTATCCCTATTTGTTTGATGGTATGGGAACTTCAAATCAATTTTAACACGTTGGGGTAGTACCGCAACATTTGGACTAGTAACCAGTGGCATGGCGTGCTTTCCCATACATCGATTAATCTACCATTTAAACTTATAGAAAAGGGTCGATAAACAGGGAGTCCGCAACGAAGACCTTGATAATCGGTTCTTTACCACAGCTTCAAATGAGGCGCGAATTATCGATAATCGATCATTTGCGCCTCGCTAATGTCAGTAATCTAATTCATTATGGTACCACAATTAATTGGAAATGTCCAAGTTGGGACTTAACTCCTACCTCTTCGCGGAAAAAAATTAAATTGCTGATTTAACTATTTTGTAGTTAAAAAGTGTGTCTGACATGTTTCAATGTAGATTTTACAATAAAAAAATGCTAATTCTGCCACCCCCGTGGTTACATTAGCTTTCTACTATCATAAAATGTACCTTTAAAACATGCCGGGCGTATTTTTTCAAGAATTTAGCTGTTACATCAACAATCCAATTTCCCCGTGTTTTTTTCCCGTGCAGTCTTCGTAGACACCTTATAAAAACATACATAGCTGTGTCTTTTTCTCCGGAACAACGATATTCGCGCCCAAGTTTCATCCGAAGCAAGAACGATGTCGTCCAACCCAACGCGACAAGTTATTAGTAGTTCCTCGGGTACGGTATGCCACGTCGTCTCGTCCGATTTCGAATCACGCGTCGAGTCAATCAAATCACGCCCGGGGCGGATTCCAGTTGCTCCACGCTCCAGTTTAGCCGGGTTGTCCCCGGATCCCGGATGAGCGTACCTAGTTTCACTTCCCGTGAACTTTTCTCTCCGATCTCCACTGCGGGACCCAACCCCCGACTTGCGCCGCAGNNCCCCCCCCCTCCCCCCGGTCACGCCCGCCCCCGTGTCTCCTCTCGCTGCCGACTTTTTAAAAAGTCCACCTCCCGCGATCGGAAGGGATTTGGCAGAAAATTGCTTCTTTTCATGGACTCCGGATCGAGTCTCTCTGTGTCGCGTCATGTCACGTCCCGCGTTGGAGCCGAGCTTATCCGCCGAGTTGATTACGCCCCTGCATGGGTAATCTGCAACGATCCCTGGGGCTTTTGCACCGGCAGAATTTGCAGGGATGCTACATCCCTCTCCAGAGCTAAATTACTGTCGGGAGACTCTCGCTTTGAGATGGCTATACTGACGAACATGAAGATACCCTGCATCCAAATGCTAAGATTGACCCACTCAAGACGGAGAATTTAGCTAATCTTGTCACAATATTCCCGAATTTATCAGGTATTATTTTCTTTCTTTAAGACATTATTGTATTAAT